CAGTGGGGGCTGGAGCAGCAAAAGGCAGCAATCTCTGCACCAGGGTCTGCAGGTGCTCACAGACGGCACAGCCGTGGGCAAACTGCTCCTGCCAACTCTTCCACCAGAGCTGCAGGTCTTTGCACCCAGTGCTTCAGGGTGCAGTGCAGGGCTTGCAGTGCCCCCAGGTGCTGCCACTGGTAGTCCTCTTGTGCAAGGGCCCGCTTCCAGAATGTTCTGGTGCGGGAGGATGTCCTGGGCGGGGTGGTGCGCCCTGCACTCACAGCTGGTGCGGCTGTGGAGAAACATGAGAAGTGGTCAGTTATCCCTGGAGATATAGTGTGAATCTGCAAGTAAGGACAACAGTTCTCTGCACCATCAGAGCCAATGTGCTTACACACAGGCCGTGTTCGGGATGTCCTGCTATCGCCAGTGGGAGCTGCCCCAGGACTGCACAAATTCCCCTGTGCTGCATCGGTGTGGGAGGGAGAGGGGGGAAGATGTCCCCTGCCTCTGTGTAGAGAGAGCTTGTGGAGGGAGGACATCCTGCTGTGTCCCACCCTGGGGTCAGAAGCATGTCATGTCTCTTCACACATGCGTACGGCTAACAGGCCAAGGCCCCTGTGTGGCAGGCAGCTGGGGCCATGTGCCCTGGGGTAGCACGGCATGTGCTCTCACGTGCACAGGTTGCTGAATGATTTGTGGTGGCAAGGCCCATGTGTATAGTCCCTGGTCTCCCTCCCCTCCCGGTCCCGCTTAAGGGGACAGTGATGGCACTCACATGTTGTTGCCTCACCAGCCTTGGATGACACCGGCGACACATCCGCTGGGATGGTTTGGAGGTCCTGGCCACGCAGCATGCTCCCTCGGGGCTCCTGTGGCTCCTGGCCCGCCTCCTCCTCCTTCGTGCCCTGGTCAGGGGCCTCTGCCCCAGGGTCGATGACCACCTGGGGGGAACCATCCAGCCCCCACCCCAGGATGCAGTCCGGGGCATACAAATAGGGGCAGCTCTCTGGGTCCGCCCCTCATTGGTAGCTGCCCCCTGTGGCCCTGGTATAAGCCTGCCATAGCTCCTTGATTTTCATCCGCACCTGCTCCTGGGTTTGGATGTGGCCTTTGGTGGCCAGTCTGGCAGCCATCCGACTGTAGATGAGAGCGTTCCTTCATCTAGTGCAGAGATAATGGACGTTGGCAGCATCCTCCCAAACCTCAATCAGGTCCATGATCTCTGCACTGGACTAGGAAGGCGCCTGCCTTCTCTGGTCCCTGGCAGGCTCCTTGTAGCTGGCAGACTGGACCTGGGGAGCAGAGGAGGGCTGGCTGCCAGTGGCTTGCTGGCTCATGCTGCGGCCTGGGTCAGGGGCAGTCCCTGGTGTTAGCCACAATAGACTGTGACCAGACTCTACCCCTTTAAGGGTTCCGGGAGGGGGAGGGAGGAGAGGAGTTTTCCTGTTTGTGCCCCGAGTGGCCACCAGGGCACCCTGGGAAGGGCTGGAGGCCCCCTATTTTGAAATAGCCCCTATTCCCTGTCTACAGAGCACCTATTTCGAAATAGGTGCTATTCCTTGTAGGATGAGGTTTCCCAATTTCGAAATAAGCCCTCTGCTATTTTGAAATAATTTCAAAATAGTGGTTGGCTTGTGTAGACGCTAGGAAAGTTATTTTGAAATAAGGGCTGTTATTTTAAAATAACTTTGCGGTTTAGACATACCCTTAGGCCACTCTGACCCCAACCAGGAAAACTCCTCTCCTCTCCCCCTCCCCGGAGCCCTTAACGGGGTACAGTCTGGCTACAGTACCTGTGCCAGCTCTAGGTCTGTCAGCCCAGAGCCAGCAGTCGCTGCCCCTGTCCCAGTGGCCCCAGCCCTCTACCGCTCCCCAGGACAAGTCCCCCAGATCCTAGGAGCCTGCCAAGGGCCGGAGAAGGCGGGCGCCTTCCTGGTCCAGTGTGGAGATCATGAACCTGATTGAGGTTTGGGGGATGCCTCCAACGTCCATGATCTGCACACTAGATGGAGGAACACGGCCATCTCCAGCGGGTTAGCTGCCACCCTGGCCACCAAAGGCCACATCCGAACCCAGGAGCAGGTTCGGATGAAAATTAAGGGGCTGCAGCAGGCCTATGCCAGGGCCACAGGGGGCAGTTCCCAAATAGGGGCAGATCCAGAGAGCTGCCCCTATTTGGACACCCTGGAACACATCATGGGGGCGCTGGATGGTCCGTTCCCCCCCAGGTGGTTATCAACCCTGGGGCAGAGGGCTCTGACCAGAGCACAGAGGAGGAGGAGGAGACCCAAGAGCTGCAGGAGCCCGGATGGAGCATGCCGCGCAGCCAGGACCCCCAAGCCATCTCAGCAGAGCTCTTGCTGGTGTCATCCGGGGAGGCAACAACATGTGAATGCCATCACTGTCCCCTTATGAGGGGGGAGGTGAGGGAGACCAGGGACCGCGTGCGTGGGCCTTGCTAACTATGGATCATTCAGCAACCTGTGCATGTGCAAGCACGTGCCGTGCCACCCCTGGGCACGTAGCCACAGCTGGCTGCCACATAGGGGCCTTGGCGTGTTAGCCACACGCGTCTGTGAAGAGACATGACATGCTCCTTACCTCGGGGTGGGACACAGCAGGATGCCCTCTCTCCACAAACCCCCTCTATGCAGAGGTAGGGGACATCTCTCCCCTCCACACACACACACTATATACAACACAGGGGCATGGGTGCAGTCCCAGGGGAGGTACGCTCTTTTCCGAAAATGTTTTTAACGGAAAACTTTTCTGTTAAAAGCATTCACGTGCCGTGCCACCCCTGGGCACGTAGCCACAGCTGGCTGCCACATAGGGGCCTTGGCGTGTTAGCCACACGCGTCTGTGAAGAGACATGACATGCTCCTTACCTCGGGGTGGGACACAGCAGGATGCCCTCTCTCCACAAACCCCCTCTATGCAGAGGTAGGGGACATCTCTCCCCTCCACACACACACACTATATACAACACAGGGGCATGGGTGCAGTCCCAGGGGAGGTCCCACTCCTGGGGATAGCAGGACCCTGCAGCTCCGGTGGGAGTAGCTTGCTCAGGTGTCCCCAGGGCTAACTGACCACTTCTTGTGTTTCTCCACAGCCGCACCAGCTGCAAGTGCAGGGCATATCACACCACCCGGGACATCCTCCCACATCCAAGGACTCTGCACTACCAGCAACAGCACTTGGGGGCACTGCAAGCCCTGCACAATACCATCGACCGCTGGGTGGAGGAGGACCTGCAGCTACAGTGGAAGAGCTGGCAGGAGCTGTTTGCACAGGGCCACTCCCCATGCAATTATGTGCACACCCTGGTATAGAGCAACCTCTGGAGCACTGGGTGCAAGAAGACCTGCAGCTCCGGTGGGAGTAGCTTGCTCAGGACCGTGCCATCTGCGAGCACCTGCAGACCCTAGTGTAGAGCTTGCTGCCACCTGCCATTCCAGGCCCTGCTGCCTCCCCAGCTACCAATCCTCCTCCCACTCCTTCTCCGTCTCCTGCTTCTTCCTCCTCACCCCCTGGGGATGCTGAGGCTCCCCACGGTGCTGGGAGACAGGTGGGCCAGCAAGACCCCCAACCCTGAGCTTCTCCTCCCCCTTCCTCCCCGTGCCTCCCCCTGCCAGCTCCCTCCTACCAGGTTTCCCCCTCCCCTCTCCCACTCTCCCTCCTCCCACCTTCTTTCCCCAGTCTCACCTCAGTTTCATCCCCCCCCGCCCCAGTTTTGTTCATAAAGAGACTTTGTTGTAATGAACACGTGTCTTTTATTGTACAGCAGAAACGGGGGGTTAAGGACGGGTGTGAGGAAGGAATGAGACACACGCTCCCAGTGGGGCACACCAGGCAGACTGTTACTGCCTGCAGAACATGCTTCCAGGCTCACAGCAACATGTCCAGGAGAAGCACCATAGTGACCAGGGATGGCTCCAGCTCTATACTGCAGAGTGTTGTGGTGTCCTGAATGAGGGCAACCAGAGCACGCAGAGAAAAAATGCTTTGCTTTCCCTCATTGAGGTAGGCAAGCAAGGAGGGAAACCTGTGAACTGGCTGTCCTGGGGCGGGGGGAGGGGTCCCTTTAAGCACAGGCCTCAGATAGCCTCAGGCAGCACCCATACAAGGCAACTCCTAACCTAATGTCCTGGCAGAATCGGTTCTGCTGGCCTTAAATGAGATTCAGCGTCCAATTGGAGTGGACATGAGACATTTTGTTTACACTGATCACCCACAATCGTGGATCCTTGCAGGTCCTAGGGGTCACAGTTCACTGTTTCTAGGCAATGGGAGTTGTGGGAAGTGGCACTTGATGCTGTATCCAATTTACTGTATCCATGTGTTAAAAAAGATGTTAAAAATATAAAGAATTCAGAAATGATCTACACAAATTATTAGAGGTCTGGGAAACCAGTCTTATAATCTATTCAGTTTATCAAAAAGAAAGTTAAGAAGTCTATGTGGATCTATATGAAGAGACATCAGATGCTCTGTAAACAAACAGTGAGAGAAGATCAAATGTCTGGAAATTGACTGACTTTTGTTCTATATGTATGCTACAATGGGATCTTGGCCCATAACTAGTGCTCCTAATTTCTAGAAAACCAATAATAGAGAAATTTCATCAGGTTGTACTTACTGGCTCCATTGCAAAGAATCATGACCTGCTGCATCTTGGCTTTATTAGAAAAACAGAGTAAAAACATTGTTATATGGTGGGCAGAAACAGCTCCTGAGAAACCATCGATCATAAAGCAAGCTACTTGTTGCACAGAAATAGGGGGGAAATACTATTAACAATACCACTAGTGACCTACTTATTAAAATAAATGAAATGGGAAAAGGTAAAAAGAAATTAAAATTATAAAACAGTGCAAAGCACACAGTCAAACAATATAGTTTTGCCAACTATAATGCTTTTTGATAAATTCTTATTTCAAGTAAATGGGGATTTTTATTTTGGTAATATATTGCATCTTAAAAATGAACTCAGTTTTTATTGATTTTGAAAGCAACACTTGCAAGTATGAAAGTAATAGCTTTTTGATTGATTCAGTCAAGATGAGTTAGGCTTTGTGAATAAAAAGAGAATTAATCAGTGAGGGTTGATTTAGGACTTCTTCCATAGTATGGATTTCCATTCTTTTTGACATTGTCCTGTTGTTAAAGACCTGATGGACTATTTGCACTGCAGTGAATGATTAAATGACTGTAACTGTCTGAAAAGCAAAGATACCTTACAAGAAACAAGGTCTAGTGATCAAATTTCATCTAACAATGCTTTGGGACTGTACGTGCAAGAGAGCAAGCAAAAATTGTCCCCTTTTCTTCAATTATTTTAGAAGCTTTCACTCAACAAAGAAACAAAAGATTTAAAAATCTTCAGAAAAAGAATTGTTGGAAATAATAGAAGCATGTGCATTATTTTTGAAAGTAACAGAATAATCTGTTAGCAGGAGTCTCATAAGCAAAACACAATAAGTCATTCTTCCACTTTACACTATGCTGATTAGGCCTCAACTGGAGAACTATGTCCTGTTCTGGATGCCACATTTCAGGAAAAATGTAGACAAATTGGAGAAGGTCCAGAAAAGAGCAACACTCATGATTAAAGGTCTAGAAACATGACCTAAGAGACAAGATTGAAAGAATTGGATTTGCTTAGTCTAGAAAAGAGAAGACTGAAAGGGGACATGATAATAGCTTTTAAGTACCTAAAAGGTTGTTATAAGGAGGAGGGAGAAAAAAATATTCTCCTTAACCCCTGATGGTATTACAAAAGCAATGGGCTTAAATTGCAGCAAGGGAGGTTTAGGCTGGACATTAGGAAAAACTTCCTAACTGGCAAAGTAGCTATACACTGGAATAAATTGACTAGGGAGGTTGTGCAATCTCCATCATTGGAGATTTTTAAGAGCAGGTTAAGGATAGTTTATATGGTGCTTGGTCCTGCCATGACTGCAAGGGACTGGAGTTGAGGACCCCTCAAGAGTCCTTCTAGCTCTGTGATCCTATGTTTTTTAAGCTAGGGAATCCTTTTCTAGATCCTGTTCTAGTTCCATCTCAGATGGGAACACAGAGCATGCATTGTCCACACAACTTGTCAATTTTTCACAGCTTTTGAAAAATTGGGACAGAGCAAATAGGCCTCTGCTAAATAAAGGAGCCAGACAGTAACCATAGTTAATATTTAACCATTTTTTTCTTTCAATTGGACTACTCAGAATAACATTTTGCAACATGAAAGGCAGGCAACATAGGGTAGTAATAGGCTTCAAATAGAAAACCGAGACCCTCTTCCTAGATTCTGTTCTCCAATCTGCCACTGACTTCTGTGTCATTTGGCCAACTCACATTCTGTGTCTGTTCCACTGTCAAGAAAATGTTGATGCTATTGCTTATGATATTCAGTAAAAGTGAATTGAAATCTATGGACAAAATCCAAGTATTAAATGTTAGTGCAGATTGCACAAATGGAAGTCAACTAGCTAACACAAATATATATTGCGTACAAAATACCTGATTAGCGATTAGATATTTGTGTTCTTTGATGCACGACATTATTTTTCAGGATGTTTTGCTTTATTTTAACTATGAATTGTTTTGCATAATGGTAACAGACTATTTTAATAAAGGTTTATTTTATGTCAATTGTTTAATTTTCTCCATGTGTAGGCTGGAGATATGTATTTTTCCCCCTCTTTACGCCTGATATCTTGCTGCAAAAATAGTAGCTATTTTACTGAAAAAAATAAGGACTCCAATGGGGTAATACTGCTACCACACTGGAGAGCAAAGGATTAAGGAACAATTTTGGGCCCACACATCCCCATCCAATCCCACCTCCAGGGCCTGCACAAGCTGGAGGCAGGGCTTTAAAAAGGGAAGCAGAGGATTTCAGAGGTCAGCAGCATAAGGGAGCAGAGGGCTGCTCTGAGGGGAAATTATGGACCTATGCAATACCATAAGGGAGAAGCAAGGAACAGAATATCTAACATTTTATTAGAGTGATTTACTCTGGGAAGCTGAAGGAGATAGGGGTAGGAAGTGGTCTGAGGTGCAGCAACTTACTCTCAAAGCTCTGGGTGTAGCTGCACGCCACTGGGTTCTGGACTGAAACCTGGTAGAGAGGGTTGGATCTAAGCTCCCCTACCCACTCCAAGGGTGTGTTTACACAGCATGGTTTAACTTGAAATAAACTACACAAATTGAGTTATGTCAATTGCCTATCTTATTTTGAACTAGCTCATTTCGAAATTGTAAGTGTCTACAAAGCACTTTTATTTTAAAGTAGAGCACTCTTCCTCCAACTTCCCTTGCTCCTCATACAATGACCCCAACTATAAATACAATATAATGGGGGCTAATTTAGCTACAACTAATCAGGAAAGAGATCTTGGAGTTATCATGGATAGTTCTCTGAAAACATCCACGCAGTGTGCAGCAGCAGTCAGAAAAGCAAATAGGATGCTAGGAATTATTTTAAAAGGGATAGAAAATAAAACAAAGAATATCTTACTTCTCCTATATAAAACTATAGTACATCCTGAATACTGCATACAGATGTGGTCTCCTCATCTCAAAAAAGATATTTTGGCATTAGAAAAGGTTCAGAAAATAGAAATTAAAATAATTAGGGGGCTTGGAATGGGTCCCATATGAGGAGAGGCTAAAGAGACTGGGATTTTTCATTTTAGAAAAGAGGAGACTGAGGGGGGATATGATAGAGGTATATAAAATCATGAGTGGTATGGAGAGGGTGAATAAAGAAAAGTTATTTACTTGTTCCCATAATATAAGAACTAGAGGACACCAAATGAAATTAAGGGTAGCAGGTTTAAAACTAATAAAAGAAAGTTCTTCTTCACACAGTGCACAGTCAACCTGCGGAACTCCTTGCCAGAGGAGGCTGTGAAGGCTAGGACTATAACAGAGTTTAAAAAAGAGCTAGATAAATTCATGGAGGTTAGGTCCATAAAAGGCTATTAACCAGGGGGTAAGGAATGGTGCCCTTGGCCTCTGTTTGTCAGAGGCTGGAGAGGATGGCAGGAGACAAATTGCTTGATCATTGTCTTCAGTCCACCCCCTGTGGGACACCTGGCACTGGCCATTGTTAGCAAACAGGATACTGGGCTAGATAGACCTTTGGTCTGACCCAGTATGGCCATTCTTATGTTCTTACAGGAGTTGGAGTAAGAAGTCCTCCAGCTTGACAGTATTTCAAAATAACTGCCTGCTGTGTAGACGTGGACTAAGTTATTTCAAAATAATGCTAGCTATTTCGAAATAATGTTGCTGTGTAGACGTACCCCAAGAAAGCAGTACAACCACAATAGTCCTCTCCTTTGGCAACAGGCCTGCTAGAAAACACAGACTTCATGAGGCCTGCACTCAAAATCCCTATGCTAAAGGGGAGGACTGGAAACCCCTGGGTGGGAGATATGAGGAGACCAGGCAGTGCTTCAGTAGTAAAATATCCTGCCAGCCCACCATTTGTCCTGACCACTAGGAAATGTGGTCTCTTTCTGTGCATCTCCTACAAGCTAACTGAATTTTGGTAAAGTTCTTCTAATCAAATTTTGCAAGCTGGATCAGTTTCTTTCTTACAAAGTTTGGGCATAGTAGTGGTGGTGTCCTGCTGGTTTCTCCCACTTTGATTAATATTACATCCCAATTACCTGTTCTGAAGGTGGTTCTAGATATTCTCCCATGTTCCCATCTCCCCAACCCCCACAAGGTTGATACATCTACTTTTGCTGTTTAGAAAAGTTGCATTTTATTAAATTGAGTAATAATTCAGTTTATAGAAATGCATGATCATTGTCTAAGCCTTTATATTGATGCATTTATATTGATACAATGCTCCTATATATGCTGCAAACAAATGGTTGCAAGAGCATTCCCTAAAGTTACAGCTTCCCACTGCTGTAATAGATGAACATAGATGGAACATCCCACAACCATATTAAGAGAAAGCATTAAAAACATAATGCATTAAAGTTAATCTACATCAGTCAAAAATCTTGTATGGGATATGCCAGGCAGTGTTCCCTCTAAACTGCTTGGGTGCACAGCTTCACAGGTGATTAATCAGCTCTGCCCAGTCAGAGGCTCAGGGCTGATGGACTGGGTGAGGCTGACTAATCACCTCTGAAGCTGTGCTGTCACGCAGCTTAGGGTATGTCTACACTAGCCCCCTAGTTTGATCTAGGGAGGCTAATGAGGGTGACCGAAATTGCAAATGAAGCGCAGGATTTAAATATCCCGCGCTTCATTAGCATGTTCCCGGCCAGTCGCCATTTTAGAAATTGACTAGCCCGAAGTAACTGCCCGGGTCTACACGCGGCAGTGAAACGGGATTCCGAATTAAAGCCCTAACTCGAATTAGCTGGTATTCCTCCTGCAATGAGGTTTCGGTCGTCCTCATTAGCCCCCCCAGATCGAACTAGGGGGCTAGTGTGGACATACCCTTAGAGAAAACACTGGTGTCAGGTAGACAACGGGGCTTTCTTGGATCAATGGAAGCCAAATGCTGCACAGCTAAGGACCACTTCCCATCATCATTCTGCCACTATACCCCAGGACTGTCATTCTAAGCACCGCTAGCAAGAGCAACTCAGCTGATTTCAAGTATCTCCTTAGGACATGGAAAGAGGGAAGGCATTGCAAACAGTTACA